CTGGCACCCCTGAGGGCTGGGAGGCCGGGGCTGCGGGGACGGGAGGGGAGGGGGGAGGAGGAAGGGGTGGGGGTGCTCTCCTGTCTTCACATGACATCAGGGCTGCTGGTGAGACTCCCAGGGGGGCCTCTACCAGGGACCAGAAGCCTTAGTCTGCCTGCCTCCCCCTTGGCCCTGTAGGGAGGGGCCGTCTCGCCTGTGATAACTGAGGAGCCTGAGGCTCAGGGAGGTGAAGCCTGTTGGTTACAAACCCTCAGGCAAGGGACACCCAGACTCACACCCCAAAGCCCATGTTCTGTCCCCCTGCTGCCACTGAGCAGGGTCCCCTCCTGTCTGCAAAGCTGAGCCAGAGCCCCACAGGCCCCTTCCAACCTATGATTATGTCACCATGCCCCACAGTGATTGTCCCTGTCTGATACCAAGTAGGCAGGAAAAAGATGGATGGAGGTGATAAGAGTCCTCATGGAGGGAGCTGTGACCCCCAGGCTGGGGTGGGAGGAGAAGGAGCCAGTTCATGCCACAGAGGCCTGTCCCCAAAGGTGTCACTTCGGTGGAGATAAACTTTATGGGCACTGGACTTTGACCACTTCAATTTTGATCACTTCCATTCTATACCGTCAAGGAGCCACCACCAACCCAGGAAAGAGCAAAGGTAAGTGGTGTGTTTGGTCCTGATGTTGTCAGCCTGCCTGATGCACACACTGACCCACACAGAGAGGCCTCCTGCCACCGATGGGGATATGTCCCCTCCACCCCTCCAGCTCCCACCTACCTGGGCAGGGAGAGCTGGCAGGAGGAGGATGGTGACAGAGAGGCACAGAGGGACCCCAGGGATGCCATGGGACTCACAGATATCACCCAGGCAACACACTTCCCAAGTTCCCAACATGGCCTCATTCAGAGCCTTTGTCACTGAATCAGCAACACAGTGTGGCCTGTTTCAGGAACAGCTATGATCCCTCCGGAAATAAATGGGCTTTTTGTCAATTCCCAAAGGATGTTTGTAGGATGGTCCTTCCCCAGGACTCAGGTGAGCTTTTGGAAAAGGACCCTCAGGTTTCAGGGATCTGGTCCCCCTTTTCAGGGATCTGGTCCCCCTTCTCCAGGCTCTGAGTCCGTTGGGCTCTGTTCCCTTGGTCTTCATCTCTGTCTGTTGTCAGCTTGAGGGCCTTGGCTGGGGGTGACCTTTAAGGACATGGCACTGAGGAGAGGGGACGGAGGAGGGCATTGAGCTGTGAAGGGGGTGCAGCTCAGGTGAGGGACCAAGGGACAGGGGAGCAGCTATGGCTCACCAGGGTGGGTGCCCAAACCAGGGCCCATAAGAGGCAGTTGGAGCAGGGGCATGGTGTCCCAAGAAAGGGGACCTGGGCCTGAGGTCTGGTGGGAACCGGGTCACTGCCCAGGCTGGTATCTGCGCTGGTTTCAGTGTGGCCTGGGGATGCTGGATCTGTCAGAGTCAGGTGAGTACCCCCCGTCCCTGCTTATGACCTGCCCCCCACAGCCTCCATCATGTGACACAGCCCCAGGCCCAGCTTCTCCAACAAGGGCAACTCCAGGCACCAAGGGGACAGGACAGAGTTTGCTGGCCTTTGTAGAAGGCCCATCTCTGTGAAGCAGAAGCATGTGTCTCACACGGAGGACTGTCTTACTGTGCCCGCCGCTGCTCATCTGTCCTTGATTCTCCAGCAAACATTCCGTGAGTGACCAGAACTTGATAGGTGCTGGGGCAACAGATGTCATGTGTCTGCAGCCAGGAGCTGCCAGACGAGGAAGCAGAGTTTTCTCTTCCTAGGAGCCTGAGGACACAGGTCCCATGCAGACATGCCCCACGGTGATTGTCCCCTGTGGGTGCCAAGGAGGCCGGATGAAACAGATGGAGGTGAGAAGGGCCCTGGGTAGCAGGAGGGGAGGGGAGCCACTTCGTGCACAGGCCTAGGCCCATAAGGCATGGCCCGAGTAGGAATGAGCTACGGGCCGTGGACTGCAGTCACAGGGACCAGAGAAAAGCCAAAGGCCTCCTGACCCTCATGGCCCAAGAAAGGCCAAAATGTATGCGGGCTCATGCTCCCATCACCACCTGGGTTCCTAGCAAAAGGAATTCCCCCTCAGGATGGGGCCAGCATTCTGGATGTTGGTGGGTGGCCCCAGGTGGAGGCTACAGTGCTGTCTTGGGGGGGTGGTGGGGACAGAGCCCTGGGGGCCATCTCAAGTCAGAGGGGACACGACCCCTCTAGTGGCAGCATCTATGCCTGTAGATCCCTCACAACCACACCTGCCTTTCAGGGAAAACTGGATCGTTTGTGTTACTTTGTTTAGCGCTGCAGCCAGGCACCAGTGATGCTGTGCCCGCCCAGGGCCATGGTAAGCAGGGCACAGGGATGCTCCCCGTGGTCAAGGTCTTGTCTTTGCCCTTGACTGTTGCCCCTTGAGACTCTGGGTCAGAGAGCCCTGGGTCAGCAGGTGGAGGGGAGAGGGAGGGAGGAAAACCCTCCTGCCTGGAGCACAGATGGTGGAGCTGAGAGCACACACACACGTGTGCCTACGGCCAGCTTTAGTGGCCATGACAAGGCCGGGTGCTCCCTAGGGTGCTTCACACCCCACTCCTGAAGACCCCCTGCCATTACATGCACAGGACACCCTGAGGACTCCCAACCTTGTGAGAAACAGAGGAGGTCACTTGGTAACCCTCACTTTGCGTGACCGTAAAAAAGGAGTCAGGCATCAAGGCATCATGCTTTCAGAGCAGATTTAACAAATGCAAAATGTTTCCAGGGGGCTGCTTGGATCCTGGGTGTCATCTGTTTCAGTGGCCACAGGACTGTCCCCTCTGATGCCTGCCCCAGCCTGCATGGTCAGAGCTGCATCCAGAACCCGTGTGGGGCTCGGGCTCCCGACAGTGCCCCCCAGCATCCCAGGGGTGCGGTGGTGTGTGTCAGGACTTCCCTCTCCAGCCAGCTCTGCATCTCTGGGCGCCACAGAGGCCCAGGTCCCAGCTGCAGAGGCTCTGGCTCCTCCTCCCTGCCGACGGGAGGGTGCGCCACGAGGCACGAAGCGAGTTCCCCCCATTCCTTTACTCTGGGGCTCTGGCACTTTGGCCCCAATAGTCAGGTTTCCCAGGGTTGAAAAAACTCCTCCATTTCCTTCCGCAGCAGTTGGTTCCTCTTCTCCACGTCCTCCCGCGCCCGCTCCAAGTTCCGCAGCTTTATTTCCAGCATCGTGTACTTCTTCTTCTCCTGGTCCAGCTCTTCTTCTAGCCATGATATTCATTTCCTCAGGTCGGCACTACCTTCTCTGAGTCTTAAAAATCAAGAAGAAAGTGATATATGATATTTGTCTTTCCCTGAAATAACCTATAATGAAAAATATGAAAGAATATATAATATTTATGTGTGACTGAGTCACTATGCTGTACACCAGACACTAACAACACTGTAAATCAACTGTACTACAATTTAAAGAAATCTCTGCCAACTTGACAGACAAGTAAATAAATACCATGAGTAGATGCCAAAAAAAGAGAAAAACTGAGAAGACGTTTCAGACTTGGGCCCACAGGGTTGGCCAGGTGGGCTCCACTGTCTGCAGACGCGGGATGGTTGGTCAGCCTGGCACGTGGGAGAGGATGGTGCGGGCTCAGACCCGCACCAGGCGAGGCTGCACGGACCACGTCTCCTCACAAGACCCTGTGCTTCACCCCGAGCCAGCAGAGGGCTCACCCCCAGAGACCCTCGCTCGGTTTCTGGCACTCGAGGCCGGGCCTCCCTGACTCTGCACGCAAATACAGGTGACCACTTGCCCTCCGGCCCAGCCAGCTGTCCTGGTGAGGGATGGCCTGCCGGCTGGCAGAGAACAGGACTGGGCCCTGAACTGAGAGGGCAGCAGGAACCTGTCCCTGAGTTTGCTCTCCTGCGAGGCCCCTTGAGCTCCGGTGACTCACAGGAAACCCTGTTCGGGATGTCACTTTGTCTTCCACTTCCACTCAGCCTCCACACCCCGGCCCAGAGGCCGCACCACCTGGGGAGCATCTCCTGATCCTCCCCAGCAGCTCACACACATCCCTGCTCCTTCCTGCTACCACAGGGCTCTGCCACAGGCACCCATGGAGGTGGGCACCGCACTGTGCAGACGTTGGCACACATCTTTTCCACCAGACGACGTGCTCCTGTCACGCCTGAGGGACGTGCGGCGCCTGGCCCCTGGGAACCGGGCTGACTGAGACATGTGACTGTGCGTGGACACAGACTGCTCTCAGCCCTGGTGCCCTCTCCTAAAAAGCAGGAGACAACCTTCCCCCAGTGTAGCTACAATGGCCCAAGGAGACCATGTGTGCACCACGCACCACCTGGTACACGGTGTGTGTGTGGAGCAAATATCGATTCCCCGCAGCACCCAGGCCCAGGCCCAGGCCTCCACCCTCAACCACTGAACACAAAGCACGGAGAAGGGAGAGAGCCCCCCTTCACCCCCACCCCCATCTGAGCACTGGGCATGCTGTCAGAAAGAAGACCCCCCCACCACTGCTTCTCCTCCAGTCCGGGCCCCTCCTTTGCCAGGTCCTCCCCACCCCGGTTGCTCTCAGGCACAGCCTGGGCCTCCCCTCCACGCCGCTCCTTGGGTGACCTTGTCCAGCCTCCAGACTCAGAAGCACCAGCTCTGTGCCGATAGCTCTCGATCTTTATCTCCCTCGGTTCCACTCAGAAACTTAATAAGCATCTCCAACCTAACAGGCCCACCGCCTAGCTCCTGACCCTCCCTCCCCAAGTCACCCTCCCACTGCCCCAGGCTCCCCGCCCAGTGACCACCTTGCTCCAGTTGCGCAGCCAAAACAAAAACGTCCCTCAAGTCAGTCCTTCCTCCCCCTCCCCACATCCAATCAAAACTGGAAAAACTCTTCCGAACATGTTC